GTAGCAAAAGTAGATGGATACAACAAATTGATGTTGTGATGATATGACATCAATGACAATGAGCTTTGGAATCACCATAGGAAGTATCCAGAATAGAATAATAGAGGTCCAAGCAGAATTTCACTGAGATAAACAAATATATTTAGAATAAAATGTGTATGTATTCCACACACATACATGCTATAAACATTTCCTACATTTTTATATAGTCTTTAAATACATTTTAATGGTCAAACATTGTTGCAGCAAGTCATGGAACATAATTTTCAGCTCATTCTTCTATGCTTGATCCTATGTGTTTCCATTTCTTACTGTAATGATAACATGTAGATCTTCACTTTTAGTTTTCTTTCAGTTTTTAAAATTATATTGGTTTGCTAGGGATGATAACAAAGTAACACAAACTTAGTGTCTGAGAGCAATGGACTGTATTTTGTTACAGTTCTGGAAGCTAGTATTTTGAGATCAAGCTGGGTCAGAAAGCAATGTTCCTTTTGAAGACACTCGGAAAGGGTCTCTCCAACCTCTTTAATTTCTGGTAGATAGTTCTTGCCTTGTGGCAGCATAATTCCTCTCCTTCTGTGATATGTTTCTTATGCATGCCTCTTTCTGCAAATTTCTCCTTTTTTTTAAGGACACCAGTCATGCCATATTGAGGAATCACATTAGTCAAGTGTAATCCCATTTTAACTATGTCAGCAGCAGCCCTGTTTCCAAACAAGGCTATGTCCTGAGGTACTGGGGTTTAGGAACAGAACATACGGATCTGGGTTTGAGAAGCGCAGTACAATTCATAACAAAGATACTTCCCTTTGCATCAACTTCCACAAAAGGAATTTCCTTATCAAAATAGTCTATTACTCAATATCACTAACAGTTTTCTGAAAATTTTCTTAGTATTTTCACTGTCATCAATAATGCATCTGAATGTCTGACTCATGACACCCTCAGAGTTGGGGTTTATTTTTAATATTATTAAAACAAATTCAAAAAAGATAAACACATGCAATTTCCAGCAACATGGATGGTGCTGGAAGGGATCATGCTCAGCGAAATAAGCCAGAAAAAAAAAGAAAAATACTGGATGGTCTCACTCATAGCAGGAATCTAGAAAACTTAAATAAGGGACCAGGAAAAAGAATAACTAAAAGAAAGTACAAATCAAAATGAACAAACAACTATGAATCAGAGACACTCTATGGGGGGTGGAGGGCGGGAAGGGGAGGGATTGGGGTCAAAATAAGGGGTTTGCAATTGTATGGGGAATATAAAAATAAAATTTATAATAAAAATTCTAACTTTTTAATTTTATAATCATGATTAGGCATAATTTAAACTGGGCCTTTTTTCAAACTTAGTTACCATTATTGCATTCTAAGTTGTGCCTTGTCACATTCTTGACTATTCTTATAGAAGTACTGGGGTCATTTTTTATAGACAAAGTTTTTTATATGCTAAACTTGAATTAATATACATATTTTCAGGAAATGTTTTAATTTTCCTTTTAATGCTTTTATGTACAAAAGTAAAAATTGGACATTATCACAGTCTTCTTTGTGGGACCTTTTATCTCTAAGTTTGAATGTATCTTCTCATTCCATATAGTTACTAAAGATTCCTTCTATTTTTATTTTGAATTTAATTTGATTTTTATTTAATTCTTTAAAGCACATGGAGCTTCATGGGATATATATGTGAGATGACTATTACAGATATTTAATCCATAATCTAAGTATCACTGAGAACTGCCTCTCTTTGTCTTTGAAAACAATGCACTCTCTCTTGTTCACTGAATTCTTAAGGATAAGGGTACTTTACTTAGTTATGTTTTACATTTTACCAACCTGTTAGTCTATTTTGCTAGAACCATAATACTTTAGCTGTTATAAATTTTTAATATGTGTAGAAACTCATAATTCTTTAAAAAAAGATATTTTCACTTGTTTGTTGTAGTAACACTTGAAATTAAGGTAATTTCAGGTTATGGCAATTTGCCATTAGGATTTTAGCCATTAAATCTATCAATCTGTTAGAAAATAATTTTTTCTTCCTATACTGTAATATGGAATTAGTTTCCTTTATTCAAATTTTTAGATGTTTTCATTATGTGGTGTAGCTTAAGTTTCTTCATTCAATGTCCAGTAAACATTTATTGGTCATCTATTTCAGGAACAGAGAAATGCATATTTTTTTCTATGGTAATGGTAGAAGTTTGAAAAAGCGGGTGAAAATTAGGCTGTCATCCAGGTATCTAGGAGAATTGCAGACAAAGAAACTGGCGAAAGATGATTAGTCAAGGTTGAGGTAGGTATCAAAGACCATTAACTGTGAACTGACAAGATTCCAAGAGAGGGGGATATGCTTCAACTGAGTTTTGAATAGTGACAGGCAAGTAGCTAGATGAAGCAGGGAACCACATTAGGGGAAGGAAACTGAAAATGCAAAGCACACAGATTTCAAAGAGCATGGCATAGTATTGAGACAGTAAGAATTTAAATAAGTGTTAGGATGAATGAAAACCGGTGACCAATGAACCTGTAGAAGATACAGATCTGATTTTTTTTCTCAAGTGGGCATTGGGTAATCTTGGTGAATTTTAAAAAAGAGGAACTGGGCCTCCCCTGGTGGCGCAGGCGGTTGAGCATTGTGCTGTGAAGCTGTCCGCAGTTTCTGCTGCACTGGTTCGGTCCAGGCCGGCAGGCAAGGGTCCCACATGGCGAGCAGACCTCTCCTGTTGTGCCAGCTGCTCCCCTCAGCAGTGTATTTCATCAGTCTGCCTGTTCTGTTCCCCGCTCTGTCTCTGGTGAATCCTCTCACCCTCCCGCACATCTGGTTTGTACCCTGGTTCTTGTATAAATAAATCTTAAAAAAATTAAAAAAAGGGGAATTACATGAGCATATTTGTATTTTAGAAAGATTTCAGGGCAGAAAATATAGCAGGACATAAGAAAGGTGTCAAAATGAACAAAAAAGGGGTTGTTGATAATTAATAAAAATATATTCAATGAGTAAATGAAACACTGAATGAATCAATGAATGAAAAACTCAAAACATTACCAGATGAAGCAGCTGAAAAATAATTGTTTTTGGAAAGATCACCAAATCTTTGATATGGAAGTCAGATATCAATGGGAGACAATGTCAAATTAGTGGATATTTGAAATCAGATGTAATATTGTTGTTTTTGAAACTAGCTGTTGCTAGTAAGTAATAAATAACTTGCTATTGTTATTTGTATTGGTTATATTCACCTTATTCATATTTTATTATCCCTAATAGTTTTCCAGGTTATTTTTTTTCTGGGTATACATTGTAATTCCTGAGATTATAACAACTTTCGTGCCTTCTAAAACACACAAACACACTCACTCTCTCTCTCTCTCTCTCTGTGTTTGTTTTGTGTTTTAACATGGGTCATAATTTCTAGAAACAAGTTAAAATAGTGGTAATAGATATTTTGCTTTTAAATATAACTGCAGTGGCCTAATATTTCACTCTTAAGTTGATGACTCTGAAAATGAGATTATTTTTGCATATTAGTCTTAAGGAATAATTGTTGCAATCCTATATTAAAGAGGTTTTTCAAAAGCCATTTAGGTTTCAAAATTTTATCAAATGAGTTTTTGTAACTGAAATTCAGATACACATATTTTGGTCAATTATTGTAGTATTTCATCTTAAATTGTTCCGTGATTTTAAATCAAACTTGTGATAAATCTTCATGAATATGATAAATAATTTTCATATAATGTTGAATCCTATATTTTATGGTATATTTATGAATGTTTATAGCCATAAGTAGGAATGGTCTTTTATATTGTGCTTTACCCTATTTCATATTCAAAGATATGAGATACTGTAAAATCTCTATTGCATAAAGCATTTAGTTATGGTAATTAATCTTCCCATACTTAGTGGTTAAGAAAACCAAATTCACTTCATATTTTCATCAGTAAAGTTTATCATTGAGCTACATAACCTTGAGGCTTTCTTTCTCAGTGGCTCATCTATGAAAATGAGGAGTGAGGAGTTTGGACCAAATGAACCCCACTGTCACCCCAGCTCTAGCATTCTGCCAATTTATATTCAGAGAAGTTCTCTAGCTTATGCTAATCACCAAAGACGAATTAATAAGTCTAAGGTAAAAATAGACTATGCCCTGATGACCCTGGTACTTTTAGACTTGAATTTAAAAAAATTCCTCAGTCTATTGTTGATTTACCTAGGCCCATGAGTAGTTGAACCTAGGAAGACTAATACCCCTAATTTATTCTTAAATTGCTCTAGAGAACAGTGGGCCAACAACCCCTCACTGTTGCATTCAGCTCAACTGAAACACTGGATATAAAAACGGGCAGATTAAGAACTCTGGATTCATGTCCTGCTTCTACCATTTGGAAACTTTGGTCTTAATCAACTTACTTACCTTCAGACATGGTTTTTCTTATTCACAAGATGAAGTTTTCTTAATTGATCTTTTAGCTTTTGAGTTCTATGATATGAAAACCATAAATAAAAATTAATAAAACATCTTGAATTTACATAGTCATCTGAGGTTTACTTTCACATACATTGATCTCATTGAAATCTCAACAATTTTGTAAGGTAAATACAGTATTAGTGCCCTTATTTCAGATTTGGATGTAAACTCTGGACTCCAGAGAAGTTGGTAGTTTTGTTTAATGTGCTTATTAGTAAGTGGTAGAGCCCCAGCTGGATCCAAGGACTTCTGATTCTTCAATTGTGTTCTTTTCTTTATATGACCTATTATCTTGCACTAAATCCCATTATCACCTTTTTATACTTTCCAAGCATTCTGGCACAATTTACGTCTCTTTAAATTAAGGAGCAACTATTCCTCTTCCTTTGGGGTTCAGACTTAGAATTCTTTCATGATTTTAAACAACGTAACATGGTAACACTTGGCTCATTTGTATGTTTAAATGATTATTTGAAAAATACTCCATCTAACACTTACCCTTTTCCTGATTCTCTTTCAGATAGCAATTCTGTGGATGAAAAGGTTTTAAATCATACTTTTTCTTCCCTCCTGAGGGATCTTGTCCTTTGTATATGTTTGTTTGTGACATATTAGACCTTTTTTGGTTCCCCTGTTTTAGTTGTGAAATGTGCATGTTATCATAGCTTTCCATTCTTTGGTTGTCCTTTCAGTGTGCCCCTGATATGTTGCATTTATGAAGAGGTTACACCTTGCCAGCTGCGCTTACTTTAGCTTATACTTGCCAATCTAGGGGTCTGCTACGGTCAAACTCAGCATCTGTTCTTAAGTCTGGCTAATCATGATCTCCCTGACTGATTCATGATCTTCACTGCACATACCATGTTTTAAGGGCAAATAGTATTTGGAATACCATATATTTTCCTGAATTCTGCCAGTGCTTTTGTTTAAATGCTGACAGCTAATTTCAAAACATCCACCCACAAAATCGTAGTAGCTTTGACTTGCAGCTGACCCTGCTTAGCATTTGTCATACTGGGTGTTACGTGTTTAGTGCAGTTGATATATGTCCCAAATTCACATATATACACTCAGATTATGCTAAAAGGCTCTTTGTTTTGTTTTGTTTTGTTTTTCTCTTTTTTCACTTAAGGCTCGAATAGTAAGTGGCAGTGATTTGGATGCTTCTAAATTCTCTGCACTCCAGGCATTTGGTGGGTAAGTACATTCATGACCTTTGTAATTTATGCTATTCATCAGTGTACTTAGTTGTGCTTCCAACATTGTCTTTGGAGTTCAGAATGTTGAATAATGGTATAACTAGTCTCACTGTTGCATTCTTTTTTCACAAATAAAGGACCATTTACAGTATTTAAAAAAATAATGTGTAGTTGTCTGTAATGTGTAATTGTTTATATGTATCTATATGTAAAGAATGAATCACCTAACTTGATTATCTATTAGCATTATCATTCCTTGCACAAATACAACCATATAAGCTTCATAGATGAATTCATATTAATACAATTAATATTATCTTTTGATCTGTTTACATCTAATGTGTACATGAACAAACATGTTTCTATGTCAGTAAGTCAATGCATACAATCTTAACCATTATTTTTTATACTTTAATGGGTGTACAAAGGTTTTCAAATTTTAATTATGAAATTAATATATAATTATATTATTTACGTAAAATAAAGAAGAAGCAAGGAATCTCTAATTCCCATAGTTACACATTGGTATTGTTTTGGTATGTATGCTCATTTGCCTTTTTCAGTGTGCTTGCATACATATCTTCAGTCATATAAACAAGTAGTTTATATGTGTATCTGTGCATTTAAATAAGTTAGTTCATTATGTATTTAAATAAAAAAACATTGACTTAGCACTGATTATATCAAGAATTGTTAGGAACGGTTTGTGTGTAATGACTCATGTAATCGTTTCAGTATCCCTTTGAGGTAAGTAATATTTTGATATATGATTTACCAGTGATAAAATCAGTGTATCAAGCAGTCAGAAAACTTCACCTCCTTTCAACTAGTGAGTGGCAAAGTCAAAATCAAACCTAGTTAATCTAGTTCCAGAGCCTGTGGTCTTAATTACTGTGTGTGTTGCATGTGCAACTTGTTCCATTTAACAACTTTCAATTTCATTATTTTTATGTGATGCAAACATTTCAAAACACTTTTATGTAATATTGTTACTGTTATTTATGCATTTTTAAGAATATTTCTAGATGCCATTATTGTAAATGATACTACAACAAACACATAATAGATATTTAAAGTGTAATATATTGAACAAAACAGGCACAGTTTATACATCTACACATCTAGATTAAGATAGGTTGTTAAATATATTGTTAGGGAAATTTGAACATATTTCTGTACAGTATAAATGGAAGCAAAATTTAGATACGCATTTTAGGTATATTTTTAGGCAAAGAAATAATTTCACAGTTATGGTTTATACTGTCATTCTTTGAAAGTGAATCTTTTGTTAAATAAAGCCATATTACATATAGAAAATTTAAAATTTAAAATGTAAAACTCTTGAAAAATACCACATGCTATTTTTATTTGATTTTTCTCAAATGTAATTCAGGTGTTATTATGTCTATACACTCTTCACAATCCTTAAAATATATAAAGTATTATTTTTTTTGATATATAAGGCTGATTAAAATATGTTACAAAATCAGCAGTGGTCAGTAATCGTTATGAATTTTCCACAGAAAGCTCAAGTAATAAGTGGATTACTCTCTTTCTCTCATTCTACAATACTATCTCTTTTACATTGGCTTAAATATGAAAACTTGACAAAAGGAATAGTTATCTCAGAAAATAATTCAGTTGAAATTCATTGTAATTATGAAAGATACTGTTTCATGATCATGGAAGCTTATCTGAGTTTATGATCTTCAAGTTTTATAATTCCTCCCTGCCAAAAACATCCTTCACTTCCTAACATCTTTTTTAATTCACACCTGAATATGTACTTCTGTCATTGTCAAAGCAGTAGAATTCATCTATAACCATACTTTTGTTTAATGCATGTTTGTAAATGTCTAGCTAAAATAGGTCATTTTTGTATTTTGAATAGGCTCCTTCTACATAATTTACCCAAAACTGCCTATTTTCAAGGACTTACCAAGGGATTTTAGTTTTATGATAGTATGGGAAAGGGGTGATAATTCTAGTCATCAAGAGAATTCATTTTTGTCTGAATGCTTATTTCCTCTTGATGAGCCCCTTCAATTATAATAACCTCTTTCAGAAAGATTTGCTTCCAATTTTTACTTTTCCTTTAAATATTTAAATATATATTTTTATTTAATTGAAGCATCCCTATAATTCTTCTAAACCTTACAATATCTATTACTGGGAAACTGGGACTGAAACAGACTTTCAAAATTTGGAGTCTTTGCTTCTGTATGCCAGTACTACTCTGTACAGAGTCAAACACCTCTAACCAGTTGAGAGCCAAACCATATTCATCCTTCCTTCTTTACGTGTCAATAAAAGAACAACCTATGCACACTCCAGATAATGGAGTTAACAATGCAGCTTTCTGCACATCTCTCTATACTTTTTTTGGAAAAGATGTTGAAAATACACGTCAAACTTCATTCTGTTTTTCCATCTGTCATAATAAAAAAATTAGACAGTCTTCATGAAAGGAATTGTGTGAGAAGGAAGAGACAGAAGAACAGAAGGATGCATGTTTCAGAAAGCATTAAACTTAAGAGTTTTAATCTTAGTGTTTTAATCAGAATTTGGTAACATATCCATATATGTAAGCTAAGAGTCATACTACAAGTGTGTGCCAAAATGATGTTAGAAGTACAAGAATTTTATGTGGGAATAATCTCAAAGATTAAATGATGACAAAGAAATAGGAAAGAGGGGTCTTTGTAACATGATATGAGCTTAATGTCTGTAAAAGAAGACCAGAAAAGAAAAAGGACTGGTGTGAAAACTTTCCAGCTGACTGAAATGAGTCTACAGGAAAGTCACATCATTGTGTTTTAGATTGATTAGTTAGTGTTTCTTGAGTAGATTCAGGTCTACTGTATTTTAAGAAAATAATGTTCTTGAAACTGATGAATTCAGGATGAGAGAGAGAGTACTGTGAGCTTTAAAAGAAACTAACCCTTTCTGCCCCCACCATAGTCTATTGCCTATCCCAAACTCAAAGCTCAGTTACTAAGTCCTTACAGGAAAATCAAGGAATTTTTCTCATGTTAGTTATAAATCCAGTAAGCCACTTAGCTTTTCTTTGTCAATCTCCTTTACTTTGGAAAAACTTTTGAAGGTTGAATTGAGCAAATCTATAAACATATTTCTATAATTATGCTAATATGTACATTTTTATTTTTTTATTATCTATAAACTTCCTCACTTTTTGAATATCTTAGATATAAACTTAGACTGTATTACAGATTTTCTCTACTCAACCGCATTATTACTGCTTTAGGATAGAGACCTTTTTTGATTAATAATTGAATGATTTTCTTTTACCTTGTTCTTCATAAAAGTAATAAGGGGGTTTATCCTGCTCAGTCCACTACAGGATGAACAAAACTATGTTTCCAGGTAGCCATTTATATCAGATAGAAAAGAATTTCATATGAGGTGTGGGGATGCCTCAACCCACCATAGACTCTTGATTGTACCGTGTCAGCTAGTCCTCAGAACTCTGCCTGCAGTCTTCCAGTATAACAGAAATGTTACATACTATATACCAAGATTTTATGTAGATAGTCTATTAATTAGGAAAGCTTGTAGCGGTAAGACCACCAACTTCCTAAAACCCATGTATCAAGAACTGGTCACTAAACCATTCACTTTCAGTGACCAAAACAAACCAGTCTCAGTTTGTCCAGCCACTGGCAGTCACTTCTCTAACTTGGTCAGCTTAGTGTTTCACGAGACTCCCTTCATAATTACGCAGGAAGTTCTTGAGATCTGTTTAGAAAGTCATGGGGCTATTAGACAATACATTTTGATGTTAGCCATAGAGACCATCCAGTAGACAAACTCATGAGCCACCAGGACCACAGGCATGGATCCCCTTAATGGGAAATACACTTTGGCATAGTATCTGTTGAGGGAATATCAAAGTTACTAACTCCAGCCTAAAATGGTCTAACAAACTCCATTTGTTTTCTTTGAGTATATAATAAATAATTCTTTGAGACATATTTTTCTATATAGTGGCTAAAGAATTCATAAAAAAAAGAATTAAGAAAATGGAACACTTTTCTTCAAGCTATAAAAAGCTTGTAGTTCATAAAATTATAGATTGGCACATTTTTCATCATGCACTTTGACGATTTTCCTTGTTGGTTCTTGCCACTGAAAGTGTCCAATACAGCATTGGTTGACTCCCCATAAAGGGTCTGCTTTCCTTTTTATCTTTAGGTGATGGCCATTCAAAACACCTGAATGAGAAATTGCCTTTCCCTAGTTTCTAAGGCCAGCTTTTCTCTTAGAAAAGTAAGAGCACCAATGTAAAGTTAAACATATGTTTCCTTCCTTTGGGACCTCCAGTCAATATGTACCCCTCCTTCTACTTCAAAACAAAACAAACAAAACAAAACCAAGCTCTCAAGCTTACAATATTCTCTTCTAACTCTGAGCATTGTAGGAGTACCCACCTATTACCATAGCAGACCAAGCTCTCAAGCTTACTATATTCTCTTCTAACTCTGAGCATTGTAGGAGTACCCACCTATTACCATAGCAGCTATTGGAGACAGTCCAACCTCAGGAAAATGATCTTCTATTTAAGGAACCTGAGAGCATATTAGTTGGAGAAAAAAATTCAGTGTCATAACATATTTTTCTAAAGCCTCTACGTTCAGTCTGCTTATTGAAATTTACATATTACTATACATTTCCAGTTCTTTAAATCAGATCTTAATTATGACATCTAAATCTCTGGCTTGTTAAATTTATTAGAAAGTCAGTTGATTTATAGGACTACACCACACAGAATCAAATTTAATCTTCTAATGCCTTCCAAATTGTTTTTGAGAAGTAACAAATTAAGATCTCTGATGTATCCTTTATGAAGACAGCATTTGAGCAGTCAGTCTTAAAGCAGTGCCAATTATAACTATGGAAGGTATCCTGTTACATTGAGCAGAATAATCACTTTTGTTAGAACATCATTAGCTGTTACCCGAAAAAACACTGAAAATAACC